AAGGTAGATCAGTATGATGAGCTGCTGTCTGTGAAAAGCAGCAATGTGTTTGTTGGAAGTGGCAACTTGCCTGTCAAAGAAGCTGTCCCACTCTCCAAGCAATTTTCTGTGAACAGCCATGTGTGCCGGGACAAGGGAAACCATATCAAAAGCTGTTTGTCTGTTAAATGGGAATGTTTCTCCAGCTCTTCTCTGTCTGTAAAGGAGACAGAAGAAGCCTGTCAGCCTATGATGGTTGAAAGTTTGTCAGTTGTCTCAGAGCTGATTCTGGATTTAACTGAAGCCCAGGACAGAATGTTCCTAAGTTTGTGCCTACTAGGGGGAATTACATTGTAACTAGGTTGCATCCAGTTAATGGCATAAATAGCTCTCAGGGACTAAGCAATTCTGATGCTTCTATTTTGCCTGTTGCTACTGTGTTGCTGAGTAAAGATATGACAATCTTGTCTGATCAGGTTGATATCATAGCCAGGGCACGAGGAAAGCATGAAGGTGATTTGACTATGTTACTCACTGACAGTGTGGAAACCTGTAACAAGGAAGAGGCTGCTTTTAACCTTTTGAACATGGAGTCTAGTAGCTTGCCTGAAATGGAGTTGTGTAAAAATCCTTCTGATGGGCCAGAGGTGATTCTGGATGTAAGTGAAACTCAGAAGGAGTTTGGTAATTTGTCTGTTGTGCCAAAGTCAGTTCTGGATATAAATAAAGCTCAGAAAGAATCTGTTGCATTTCATAATATTGCAGGAGGGAAGAAATTTCTTAGTGGAGTCTCTGAAGTCTGTAAAAAGTCAATAGCTGTGCCTAGTGGGAGTGAAAAGGTATTATTACTTCCATTAACTCTTAATGGGCCATTGTTGATAGTAAACAGTCTCTCTTCTGAGGAAAGTGTGTTGGTGCTTAATGGCCAAAGTCTTTCAAGTAAAAATGAATCCATTGAATTTGCTTTGGAAAAATCTAGTGTGGATAGCTTAAAGGAGGCTTTGTTAACTAATATTGGAAGTGAACAATCTGTGTCTCAGGTTCCAGGAAAAGGCTGGATTCCTGGCTTTACACAGCACAGGAGCCTTGTGAATAGACCCATAGACACTTTGGATTTGTCATGTGATTTCTTAGTAAGCTATAATGTATCTGATGCCTTGTGGATGCAGAAATTGGTAGTTGAAAAGCAGGAGAACTGTAGTTCAAACATAATGATAGAAAATGGTTGTCTCACTTTAAGGATGGTGTCCAGGCAAGTTACCTAGCTAACAAGGCAAAAAAGAAAGGCGAGTTTACCCTTGAAAGGCAAAGTGCCCTTACAGACTTGCCTCACTCATCTCAAAAATACCAAAAAAAAAAAAAAGCCCTCAAAGTGGTTAAACTGGAAGCCTATGTTAAGGAAAACACTAAGGTAAAGAAAAGCTACAAAGGTTCAAAAGGCATATTAAACAAGCTGACCTAAAGAATAATTTATCTAAACAAAAGGCTTGGCATGACACAAATAATTGTAAATGTACAGTTGTGATAGAACTGATGTTATTGCTAATGATTGTAACTAACTTGTTGCTGATACCAAAAACTGTAAAAATGTACAATGTGCATGGTCTTTTGGAAAAACCTTTGAACATGTTAAGAGTGGTACATAATAGAAACCCTTATGATTATGCTGTTTTTGGTTTAACAAGAACACACTTTGTATTAAAAGGCCTAATAAAGTTGAGGTTTCACAGCTAATGCCTGTACACAATCCTAAAACTTTCCACAGCAGAAAAACCACTACAAGCTTGAACTGCTGTGCACAAAGGGAAACTGAGGTACAACACCTCACAGCCTTCGTGGCTGAATGCCAGAGTAAGTGCTCTCTGAAGAACATTAATGGCTATGTTAAGTCAACACATAGACCAAACCCTGGAATCACTAAAGTGTTTCACAAAGTATGGACTAAGGTTTTTAACTTGGGCCAAAGCCTTGCAAGGAATTCAATATAAACACAGCTCATAACAATGTTGGAAGATCTTTAAGTTGTATCCAGGAGCTCTAATTGCTCTCTTCTACACCAATCTCGCGTTGGGGGTGTGACATTGTCTAATGAAAATATAACCATGCAAATCATTATTTCTACCACTGTTATATAATTGAAACAAATTTTATACAAAGTGTAACATGTGTCAGATCCTTTGGGATTGGTAGAACCTTTTTTTATATGATGAAATAAGATTTTCATTAATCCTCATCAGGGCCGCCCAGAGGATTCAGGGGGCCTGGAGTCTTCGACGACAGGGGTCCTTCCGCTCCGGGTCTTCGGGGCACTTCGGCGGCGGGTCCTAGAGCAAGTGAAGGACCCGCCGCCGAATTGCCGCCGAAGACCCGTAGCGGAAGAAGCTCCGGGTCTTCGGCAGCGAGTCCTTCACTCACTGAAGGACCTGCCGCTGAAGACCTGCCGAAAACTCTCATGGGGCCCCCTGAAAACTCTCATGGGGGCAAATTGCCCCCCCCCCCCCCCCCCCCGGGCGGCCCTGATCCTCATCATATCTGACTTGGGTGCCTAGGTGGAAGCCCAAGGCTGGGTTACTTTAAGGGAACTGTGGTGTTGACTTCTGAGTAACCAGTGAAGAAGCTGTTTTGTGCTGGCTTGGTAAACCGAAGTATTGGAATATCCACCAGCTTTGGGGATTGTCTACGCCATTCTTTGCAGTTCACCCTAATGGAGTGACCTCAGCTGGCTTCCCTGGGACCCCAGCATCAATAGAACTGGTTTGTCTTATTAAGATCATTCTGCAATGCATTTTATGTACTTTATATAGTTTCTCCCCAACTCATAGGATAATGTATTTAAGTTTTAAAATTGGTCTTAGCAAAGATGTTTCAGTGGTAGGGGAGGTAGCGTTCAGAAAGAGCAATTTGAAAATGACAGTAAAGCACAGAGATACGTTTTTATCTCAGGCACTGATTTGGGCCATGTTATACTCTTCTGAAGAAAAACTGAGGGAGGGGGACAGAGGGTCCAGAAAGCTTCATACTGTTCAGCTTATGGAGTTTCTTTCTACTGCTCCCCTAAACGTGGAAGGGCTTGGGGGCAGTGGAAGTGCTCAAGCCAAAGGATCCAAGCCTGAGGTGTCCAGGTGTCTGTGGGAAACTCCTCTCCCATCTTTGCAGATCTGCGGGATTTTGCAGGGAAGGCCTAACCTCTGTAATGAGCTATTCCTCTGCCCCTCCCTGAACATGGTTCTTGGAGAGTCTGTGCTGCTATCGACTGCTTTGCCCAGGAGTTGTGCTTGAGAAGCCATGGGGAAGCCTGAGATAATGAGCAGCATTAACTTGTGTGTGAACAATATATGTTAAGCCACCTACAGCATCTGGAGGGGAGCAAACCATGGAAACGATTGGCTCCCACCCCTCTCTCCTGACAAGCAGAGCTTCAACGCCATAGGGGTTAGAGGGACTTTGACAGGCTCTGATGCAGCAGGCAATCATGAAGCAGAGCTCATATATTCGTGGAATTTAAATGCCAGAAGGGACATTTGGATCCATCTAGTCGGGTCTCCTACATAACACAGGCCATAGAATTAATAGTCGCTGCCCCTCATTTTCTCATTCCCTCCTCTGCACAGGACCAACCCACCTGGCTCCCCTCTGCTCCTGTCAGTACAGGGGGCCATCCAGCCCTTTTAGTCCTAATGTTTACCAAATATATTTTCTTCCATCTGCTAACATTCTGTGCTTTGTACTCTGGAGTTCAGTTCCGATCCTGGCCAGACCTTGAGGGTAGTATTAGAGAGCAGGCAGCGTTTCGAGGGCAGCTGGGAACTGGGCAGAAAGAGCAGAAGCGGCGCTTCAGCCATGTCACAAAAACAACATATGAAATCTTCCCATCTGAGCTTGCAAAAATAGATGGGCCTGGGCTCTGTTGCTGTGGTTCAACATTTCTTTTTCTTTTGGTCAATAGGTTGTTGTCACATAGTTTACACAAGCTAAAACATTTTAAAAAAAGACGTCTCTCTGCCCATTTCAACAATTTCCATTGCCTGTGCTGAATACATGGCTCAAACTTGTGCCTTTCATGGGTCACAAAAGGGGGTGGAAATAGGGTTGCCAATGTTCTAATCACACAAAACTGAACACCCTTCCCCCGCCGCTGCCCTGCCTCTAGGTGGAAAGGAGGTGGGAATTGAACATTGAATTGGGAGAAGCATACTTGTGGCATTTGCTCATAGATTCAGTAATGTCAGTTTGTGTTACTATTGGTCTTATCTCTATTGGCATGCTCCATTTCTAAATTCATTATTGTTTTATTCATTGATGTCCGTTTTAACCAAAGTAACATCTGAATATTTTACATCCGTATGGTTGAGATTTTCAAAGCCAAATGAGGGATTTAGGGACACAGCTCCCATTTTTCTTAATTTTAAGCCCCTATTCATCTTTGAACATCTTAACCCTAGCTCAAGGTAGATTTTGATTCATGCAGAAACAAAAGCTCATTGTGTACGCATACATCAGCACCAGTTCATTTTGGCTCTGATCATGTTCCCATTCAAGTCAGTAGACTAACTCTCATCCACTCCAGGATCAAACACTTTATTCCCTATAGTGAGTGAAGAAAATATGATGATAAAATACTGTTCATAGTATTTAAAATGTAAACCTGACAACAGGATTGGGAATAGGAATATTTGCTGAGTCAGCACTGATTTGTATGAGTCCCTCAAATTATATGTATTGGATTTGACTGTTCCTGATCCAGTTAGGTTATCAGATTATCTATATTCATTCCAATATCAGTCTGTCTGCATCTAAATGCAAATGTCCATATGGTGGATGGAGTGTTTTGAAAGATCAAGGCATGGTGAAGTATAGTGCAGTCCTGTATGCAGCTAGGAAACATCATACAAGCTATTGTCCTTAAATTCATTAAGATGTTATAGAAACTTTCTTATTAAAGACTAACAAGTTCTTTATCAGACAGATGTTCTGTATGTTTCTCATGACTTTATTTTCTTTTTTTCTAGGGAGGCTTTCATAATGGACAACCAGAAAACACTTCTTCTTCTTTTTGCAGCCACCTTCTGCTCCACTGACCAGACAACTGGTAATACAATATGTGCCTGCTCCTGTTCCCATTTAAGTCATTGGCAAAGCTCCCTTTGCCCTTAATGGAAGCAGGATTGAGCCTTGTGCTTCTTATCCATTCAAATATATGTAAAAAAACAAAACCCTGGTGCCATTTAATTCTTTGTGTAATTCCAGACAGCTCTTGCAACATAATTTCACCAGGAGTGCATTTGCTTTAGGATATTAAAGACAATTCCACATAATTAAATTTAAGGCAAATAGTTCAGTGGTTTTTCTTTTTCTTTTTGGGGTTTTTGTTTGTTTGTTTTCAGTTCAAGTGTACTGATATTCAGTGCTTTCAAAATTTAGGGGAAAACTCTTATTACTAAATACAAATGAGCATGCAAGAGCTGACAATTAGCACATTTATATTTGGGAGTAGACTCATGCCAGCTTTGCCTATTATTCCATCAATACATGCAGTTCAGATCTAGTACTGATTGCTAATTGCAAGGCTGCCCAGCTTATCAGCGCTGGATAAGTTATAGCACTCCAACATTTTGACTATTGTAATCAACTCTTTAGCTCTTTGGGAGATGGAAGAATTGAGGAAGGCAATCTCTCAGTATGCAGGTCATCTTCCTTATGTCTAACAATTCAGGGGGTCATAACCATTTTACCCTTTTGTCAGGTGGTGACCTGCCATTTTGGAATGACTGAAAACCCAAGGCCCTAATACTGCAAGTATTTATTGCATGACATAATGGATACTCCTGTTTAAATCAATATGACTAAAGGCTAGTCTACCTGTTGGGATAATGCACACTCTGGGATGTGATTTCTGAAGTGCACTGGTGTGTTGAACATTAATTGGTCTGTGTGGTCCCAGCTAGTGGGCACTAAAGGTTGTCTAGTGCATTTTATCATAGTACTGTTTGAAATGCTTTAGAAGTCACACTGCCAGACTGTGTGCATTACCCTGCTGTGTAGACAAGCCCATAGTCCCATGCTAATAAACACTATACCTCGTAGTAAATGATTGTAGTATTGGGCCCATAAAACACATGTGAGTAACTTTCCCTGTGATCTAAAACTGCAGCAAGACAACACACCATCACCAAACCACAGATACTGGGTATTGTGGTGGAAGATGCTTAAGGCATATATCAATAGGCATGCATGTGTATACTTTACCATCTTTTCTTGTGACCAGGCCAGATAAGTAAGTCAGGTATGTGTGAATTTCAATATCCTGTCTGTTCATAACAATGGACCTGCAAACGCACATTGCATCATCCCTTTGCATTCTTGTGATCCCAGGAACTTGCACATCCATGACCACTGGCTTCAGTATGTAGGGTTTGCAGGTGAACCGATAGCTGGAATTTCAACAGGCAGGAGTGGTGGATTTTTACTGAATTTTTATTTTAAGTAGCCATTTTTTCCCCTGGAAGCAAACAGGAACTGAGATTGTAATATTAGATAATGCATCCAGTAAGAATTGAAAAAAGTTATGTTTCTTCAGTCTGCAGGGAAGCTTCTGTTACAGACATTGTATTCCTCGTGGATGGATCCTGGAGTATAGGAAAAGAGAACTTCAAAAACATTCAAGACTTCTTGTACATCATGGTCAGCAGCTTTGATGTTGGGGAAGATAAAATCCGGATAGGTCTGATTCAGTACAGTGATGCTCCACACACTGAGTTCTTCTTGAACACTTACCGCCGCAAGGAAGACATCTTGGAGAAGATACAGAAATTATCCTACAAAGGAGGGGGCACAAAAACTGGGGAGAGCTTACAGTTCATGCTGGAGAATCACTTCAAGGAAACTGCTGGAAGTCGAAGGGAGGAAGGCGTTCCCCAGATTGCAGTGGTGATAACAGATGGCCAGGCTCAGGATAACATCCAAGAACCGGCCAAGGAAATCAAGGACGCAGGCATCACACTGTATGCCATTGGCATCAAAGGTGCTAGTTTGGTGGAGCTTCAAGAGATAGCTAGTGAGCCAGATGACAAGCACGTCTATGAAGTGGAAGACTTCACCGATCTGCAGGATATCTCTCATAATATGCTACAGGTGCTTTGTACCACAGTAGAAGAGGTGAACCAAATTGCCCATGTTTCCCAAGGTATGTCCACAAGCCCCTGTTCCCCTCCCCCACTCTTTTCTCTTCCATGTTCATAGGTGAAGTGTTTAAAACTGTGACATGCAATCAAATCATGGGTCTTAATTTCATACATCTTCCTTATCCCTTTCTCTATCTCATACAGGCACTCTGAGGAACTAACCTTTAACACACACTTACTGTGACAAGTTCCTACAAGTATCTGTTTAGCTTAAAATATCCAAAACAGCACCATGGGTTGGTAGACTCTAAACACAAACCTACTTTGCTGAGTCAAAAATAAAAAAATCAGTTTGAAAACCAGTTAGTTTTGGTTGGTAGGGGGAAAGTCAACTTATCCTTTAGTATAAAGATAGCTCACAACTGTGAAAGAAATGAAACAACTTGCCTTTTCATTTTTTGTGTCACCTTTCTCATGTAGTTTGCAGAAAAGCCACCTTGGCAGACATCGTATTTTTAGTGGATACTTCAACAAGTATTGGCCGAGAAAACTTTCAGAAAGTGAAGAACTTCCTCTACACCCTGGTTTCAAGCCTCAATGTGAGCAGCGATCAGATCCGGGTTGGACTGGCCCAGTACAGCGATGAAACCTTCAAGGTGTTCTTGCTGAATCAATATTCACTGAAAACTGACATTCTGGAACAGATACAGAATTTGCCATATAGGAGTGGAGGGAGTTACACAGGCACAGCTCTGGATTTTGTCAGGACAACATATTTCACTGAGTCTGCTGGTAGCAGAGCTCTGGAAAACGTCCCCCAGGTAGTCATCCTGGTCACTGATGGGGAATCCAGCGATGAGGTCAAAATGCCAGCCAACAAATTGAAAGCCAGAGGCATCTCTGTCTATGTGGTTGGAATCAATGCCCAGAATACAACCAAGCTTCAGGAAATAGCCAACAAGCCTTTAAATAAATTTCTGTTTAGTATTGACAGTTATGATGTCCTTCAAGATCTCCCCAGAAGCCTTTTGCAAACCATGTGCTTTGCAGTAGAGAGCCAGATTAAAGGTAAATAACTTGCCCTTACAATGGTGGCATTTCTGACACTTTTGGTGCACCAAAGCCAGGGCCGGCTCCAGGGTTTTGGCCGCCCCAAGCAGCCGGAAAAAAAAAAAAAAAAGCCGCGATCGCGATCTGCGGCGGCAATTCGGCGGGAGGTCCTTTGCTCTGAGGCGGAGTGAGGGACCGTCCGCCAAATTGCCGCCGAATACCTGGACGTGCCGCCCCTCTCCGGAGCGGCTGTCCCAAGCACCTGCTTGACAAGCTGGTGCCTGGAGCCGGCCCTGACCAAAGCAACAATCCTGATTCTGATCTGATTTACACCAGTTGGTGTAGCTCCACTGGCTTTGATGGAGTTAATCTTGATTTGGGTCCCAATTCAGGAAAGCATCTCTATTGAGGAGGGGAGCTTTAGCCTGTACTTAAATTTAAGCATGTAGGTAAGTTCCATTGAAGTCAGTGGGTTTTAAGTATATACTTGAAAGTTAAGCACATGCTTAAGGGCTTTCCCAAGTCAGGGCTTAAGTCTAATCAGGCTCAGGCTCACAGATTATGTGAAATAGCTAAAATTCCATCTGACTAGAACTGGTCGAGAATTTTCTGATGAAGTTTTTTCTTTAAATAAAATCAATGTAGTTTTCGATGAACACTTGTTATTTTCCCAACATTTTTCATTTCGAGATTGGGGTTTCTCCACTTTCCAACTCTTTTGAACCCTTTTCAAGAATTTGGAAAACAAAGTGTGTGTGTGTGTGTGGGGGGGGGGAGTAACTATATTTTCACAGCATTGAATTGTGTTGATTAAACAGTCAAATGTATGAAAAGCATTTTTTCTCTACTTTCTCAATTCCCCTTCCTTTTTCCAATGGGGGAAAAGGAGGGAAAGTAAAAATGAGGGGATTTCCCCCCAAATTTGAAAAAAACAAAAAACATTTTTTCAGTTTAAAATGAAACAATTTTTAGTTTGAAATAGCATTGTGATATTAAATGAAAACTTTTGTGTCCATTTGACGTTTCCCAAGGAAAATCACATTTCGGTAGGGATTTTTTTCTCACAAAAAATATCTGAGAGGAAAAGTGATCCAGTTGCAAGGATACTACCCTGGGACTCAGACAGTGGTTTTATTCCCTGCTCAGCCACAGACTGCCTGTGTGACCGTGGGCAAGTCACTTAGTCTCTCTCTGCCTCAGTTCCCTGTATTTACAATGGGGTATTAGCATTTCCCTACCTCACAGGAGTCTTGTGAGGATAAATGCATTAAAGATCACAAGGAGCTCAGATAGTACAGGGATGGGCCCATGTAAGCTCCTTCGGGTACAGCTACGCTTACGGCAGAATGTAGAGTAAAGACACTGCACTCTCAGGTAGCATGGGTATAAATAGCAGTGTAGACAGTGAAGCATGGCTTAAGCGAGTAGACGAGAACGCCTGCATGCCTGAACCCCCAGGGTATGTACTCCACATGCCCAAGCAGTGCCTCCCATGTCTACACAGCTATTTTTAGCAGTGTAGTGTCCCACTGCCTCCCTGCTGCTGGAGTCTTTCACTGCCACAATGAAAGGCTCCAGCAATGGAGAAAAGCTCTGGCAGAGAGGAGGCAGTGGGAAAAGGCCTTTCGCCGCAGTGTGTATATACACACCACAGTAACACGTGTGGATGCAGCCTGCCTTTCACTTCAGTGTGCAGCTACACGTGTTGTGCCTATACGCTACATGTTGCTGTAAGTGTAGCCTTAGATAGACATAGCCTTAGCTAGATAAACTCCTTCAATGGAAATGATATCTCAATAATAAAAGTAGAAGTGCAGTTTGGTATATGGGTATACAAGCTTTGATTTAACAGAACGGGAAGCCCTAGAGCATAAAGATCAGTGGCTCAATCCTTCTCCTGTAGAAGTAAATGGAAGATTCAGTGGGAGCAAGACTAGGACCCCACATATATAAATATAGTCAGATGTAGATTTGGTCAAAAACGGGATTTTTTTTTTCCCCATGGAAGTTTCACAGGGATAGCTTCGTGGGATGCTTGTCTATACCAGAGAGCTGCAGGAACAATGGTCATATAATGTTATTTCATCATAATTCAGCACCATCCATGCAATAGGCTGTAGAATTCTCAATTTAAAATAGAGAACAATGAGTGCAGTAGTTATAATTTCAGTTCAGTTTACAATTCAAATCCAGACGTGATTCCAAGTTGACAGCCACCCCTTTCACTAATTTGTCACACTTTTTCTTTCTCTTCAGCATTTACAAAGCACTATGCTGACATTGTTTTCCTCGTTGACTCTTCTGTGAATATGGGGTCTTCTTCCTTTGAGCAAATAAAAAATTTCATCTACCAAATTGTTAACCAGCTCGATGTTGGGATTGACAAGTACAGGGTCGGCCTAGCCCAGTACAGCAGGGAAGGCCATGTGGAGTTTTTACTGAACACCTATAAGAGCAAGGAAGATGTGCTCACTCACATCCAGGGGCGTGTCACATTCCTGGGGGGCCCTTTGCAGACAGGAAGTGCCCTGGAGTTTCTGCACAAAGTCTTTTTCAAAGAAGAGGTTGGAAGCCGAATTAGCCAAGGCACCCCCCAGTTTGCAGTGGTCATCACTTCTGCCAAATCAAAGGATGATGTCGCAGAAGCCGCAGAGGAGCTGAAAGAGATCGGAGTGAAAGTCATCTCGGTTGGTGTCCAAAATTCTGATCGGGAAGAAATGGAGGTGATAGCCACCTCTCCCTTGGTTTACCAAGTCAATGGAGGGCAGAGCATCAGTCAGCTGCACCAGGACATTACTAATGTTTTGGAAGCACCAGTTCAACAACAGTATGACTCTGCCCTAGATGCAAAAGTGCCAGCAGGTATAGTATGTCACCAGAGTGAAAACAGCCGCTTGAATATATTTGTAGGTAGAGAAACTCTATAATTCACGCATAAACAAGAGAAATATCAAAGGACTAGGTAGAAGGGGGCAGAATGCAGATGACTGAATTTAGTGCTTGTGAAAGGTTGGACCGCCTATGTAGCACATGGCAGTAAGGATGCGGCATCTGTGTACATAAAGTTGCTAATACTTAACCTGCATTGGTTATATGCAGTGTAATTCTGCTCTCAGTTACACCCAGGAGTTCCTATTATTGATTTCAGAGGGGTGGCCCATTGTGAATAAGAGGAGGATTTTGCCCAGTGTTTTTCTGTTCACTTTTTTTCTAGAGATTGTCCATAGCAAGAGGCTCCAGATTCAGATCCAGAGAAGAACTTCCCTAAAGTCCTGTGGTAGTTTGATTAGGTGTCTTGGTTTGGCTGCAAGAGAGAGAGAGAGAGAGACTCAATCTGCAAACTTCCCCAAAATTTGGACAAAAGGGAGTTTAATATCCCCTTATATCTGTTTAATATCTGATTCAGACTCATTTTAAAATGGGCCTGAACCATGAAGTTCAGATCTAAATCTGAACTCTCTGAAGTTTGTAGGATTTTGGAGCGGGTTTTCTCTTTCATTCCCATCTAGCTCATTACGTGAGCTGTTGGTTTCTTTTAATAAACTATCCCAATTGTATCCTTCAATGATCCTGCAGTCTAACCTACAGTAACCTTGTTATCTTCCTTTTCCTTTGGTTGGTTTGCTTTTAGTATGTTCCAGTGCGTCTGTAGCAGACATTGTATTTCTTGTGGATGAATCCAGCAGAATTGGGTTAAGAAACTTCCAGCTGACCAGGACCTTTCTGCTCAAAATAGTCAATGCTCTGGATATTGGCCCAAATAATATCAGAGTTGGCTTGGTGTTGTACAGTGATGAACCGAGGCTAGAGTTCACCCTGGATACATTTGAGGACAAATCAGATATCTTGAACTACCTGAAAAAATTGCCATATCGAGGTGGGAGAACATACACGGGTGCTGCCATAGATTTCCTCAGGAAGAAGGTTTTTACTCAAGAGGCAGGTAGCAGGAAAAATCAAGGAGTGCAGCAGTTAGCTGTGGTTATCACTGATGGCCAGTCTTTCGATGACTTTGTTGAGCCTTCTTCTAAACTGAGACATCATGGAGTTGCTGTCTACGCTGTAGGCACCAAGAACATCTCAGAGAGTAGCCAGCTGGATAAAATTGCATCTTACCCTTCAAGGAAACACGTCACCAACTTGGAATCTTTTCTGCAGCTGTCAAATATTGAATGGAAAATAAAGAAACAGCTTTGCAGTGAGATTGTGTCACAAACCTTTGTAGTCCCAGTGCGATCACGGACTCTGAAAGAAGGTAAGAGAGAGATATGAAAATCTGGCCCAAAATCTTGCTCAGGTTCATTGATGGAAACTCAGTACGTCTATTGGCTTTCAAGGCTATACTCTGAATTTGCATCAGTGTAACTGAGAGCAGACTGTGGCCCTCTATCTTTGCCAGACAAAGTATCCAGGGCCATGAATTCAGTCATATTCTTTTTACATTATCATTGAACAATGAGACTTGTGATGGTATCAGAATGTACAGCTTGGGGTGAGGAGGGGACTCTCTCCCATTCAGGAACCTTCCATGGATCTTCTCCCTACCGACACAGAGAAGGAGGGCTGAGTTCATCTGCCCTCTGGTATCATCCCCCTTTGCCTTTGACCCCCTGGAAGACCCTATTTATCTCCAGAGTCCCATGCCTTGGAAGTCATAGCCAGGGGACATGCACTGTTGCCCTCCATTTATCAGCAGTGATAAATATACAGACATGGTGATGCCGCTGATGCAAAGATGCTGTAGGGCAGGTTTAAGGCTCACTACCAGTGAATGCCACCAATGCAGGGACCTCTCTGCCAGGCACAGAGCCAGCTCTGCAGGAGACCATGATACTGGGGGCATATTGGGTTAGGAGCAGGTGTGGCTGGGCTGTCCCTCCCCCCTACCTATTCCATGCCACTGCAACACCCATAGGGGCTGTGGTAGGAGGGGGCACAATTTAGGTCAGCCCTCAGGTTTGGCCAAGCCTCCTTTGGGGTGACAAACCATCACCATCATCCTCAGAGGTATAATCAGTATCCCCTTGATCCCAGCAATGGGCCTTAGTGGTGGCTCAGAAAGAATTCAACTGTACGGGACAAGTACTGCGTTGATTTACAGCCGGCACGATCCCATTGAAAGAGTTCTCTGCTACAGTGTTAGCAGCCACATTTTAAGCTAAACAAAATTGGTTGTGCCTCCTCCTGTACACACACAAATGTACACATATATATACACACGGTTGTGTGTGAACACTGATGCAGACAATAGGTTGTCAATAGCCTTGCTCGTGTTGGAGAACTTTGGCATTGCAAGTCCTGCAACGCTTGTAAACATCTTATGGCCACATGCCAAGTGCTTGTATTAAGTTATATGTGTGTGCACAGGATGTAAATTGGGGCAAAATTTGGCCCCATATGTTATCCTAATTCCTATGATTTTTGTCTGCCCTGGGCTTAGAAAATGTAGTAATTTTTCCAACACTAAATATTATAGCCAGCATTTTTTTTGTGATTGCTATTAAACCATACTGTAGCACTGCAGTAATTGAAAGATATTTCACCTTTCCCTTTGTTTCCTCTCAATTAGGTTGTGTGGACACAGAGGAAGCTGATATTTATTTCCTGATTGATGGGTCTGGCAGTATATACCCAAATGATTTCCAGGACATGAAAGTATTCATGAATGAGATGATCAGCATGTTCCAGGTCAGTGCCAATGGAGTTCGCTTTGGCGTGGTTCAGTACGAAAGTACTCCTCAAACAGAATTCATGATTAGCCAATACAACAGCGTGAAGCAGTTAAAGGAAGCAGTCCGTGATATTCAGCAGTTAGGAGGTGGCACCAATACTGGAGATGCTTTAAGGTATATGAAAAGTCTTTTTGCAAAGGCCGCCAGGGACAGTGTTCCCAAGTTGCTGATAGTCATTACAGATGGCGAATCCCAGGATCAGGTGACAAAGGCAGCAGAAGAGCTGAGACAAGAAGGGATTGTTATATATGCCATTGGCGTCAAGAATGCCGTTAAAAAGGAACTGAAAGACATCGCAGGAACAGAAGATCGAATGTTTTTTGTGAACGACTTTGATTCCTTAAAGCTCATCAAACATGATATCGTGCAGGATATCTGCTCCCCAGACGGTAAGAGGTTTTCCTAAATCACTCCAATCGCTTAGACAGTAGAGAGCACCTGGATGTGCTCATTATAATTAGTAGTAGTATTTACTATTTGCATTAGCCCAGCACAGATGTGGTGCACATTGAAGATAGCTTTGCTAAATAAACAGGAAAAAACAACTTCATTCTTTTGTGTAAATTGTCTCAGAAGAAGCAACACGCTTTGCCGGATGAAATCCAGGCTATCCTTCTCCTCCGGACACAGGGAGGGTATAATTTCGTTGACTGAACATCTCACAAAAGAAAATGAAGTCTGACACCAGAGGCTGAAATTCTTAAAGTTGGCCTTATGTATGTAAATATATATATATTTACTATTTACAGTATGGTAGCACCTGAAGGTTCCTACCCCAAGATACTGCACAAATTCAGAACAAAGAGCAGCTCCCTGCTCTGAATTGCCTATAATCTAATGCTAGGCTGTTTGAGATCCTAAACATACACACATTTTCAGCACTGTTGGTACAGTCCAGAACAACGTGTGACTGTAGCGCATTGCTCTTCTAAAGGAGATAGATTAAGGCTCTGATTTTGGATCTGAGCATGAGCAGATGAGTTTGTCAAAAAAATGAAGTACTCATTTTAGGACCACATTACTGACCTTATCCAGAGTGGCTGTGGATCAAGGGCAATGTATAAACCGTACGGTGCCGCATTCTAAGATGGGGGAAGAAGATTGTGTAACAAGATGTGGTTACATATTTATACATGCCATGGTCATCAGTGGAGATCAAACTCAGTATCTGCAGCACCAGAACATAAATCCTTACTATTTAGACTTTAACAGTAGCTGTTATCTGTTAGTAAACAGCAGCCTTTTATTTTCCTTGATGTCTGCTCCGGAAGACATGATTTTCTGTGTAGTTTTCAGTCTGAGTGGTTGGCAAATACATTCAGGAGGAGATTCAGAATTTTGTCTTCTCTCTTTTCTTTTCTTTCCCAGCCTGTAAGAATATGAAAGCCGACATTATTTTGCTGGTCGACAGCTCTGAGAGTATCCGCCCTGTTGATTTTCAGAAGATGAAGGATTTCATGCAGCTGATTGTGAACAGGTCTGATATTGGGGCTGATAAAGTTCAGATTGGGTTGTTGCAGTTCAGTTCAGAGCCCCAAGAGGAGTTCCAGCTCAACCGATACGGAAGCAAGGCTGACTTAAGGAGAGCCATTTCGGGAATCAGGCAGATTAAATCTGGAACGATGACCGGGAAAGCCCTAACTTTTGCCTCCTCTTACTTTGATGAACCCAAAGGAGGGCGACCCAGAGTAAAACAGTATCTGATAGTGATCACAGATGGGGAGGCCCAAGATGTCGTGAGAGAGCCTGCTGAAACCATTAGGGGCAAAGGTATCACCATCTATGCCATTGGTGTTCTCCACGCAAACAACTCCCAACTTGTGGACATTGCCGGCAGTCAAGACAAAGTGTTCTTCGAGGATAACTTTGATTCCCTTACCTTTCTGGAAAAGGAGATTCTCTTTGAAATTTGCAACCCGGAGGATTGTAAGTGATAGTAATAACCTGTTGGGTCTTTCTAATTCTTCTTTATTTTGTTGTGTTTACTGTTAATCCTTTATAAGGTTTGATTCCTCCCCACCCACATATTTCTAGTAGAGATCTTCAGCTTTTTTTCCATTGTGATATTAAGCAATGATAGTAAAGTGAAATGCAATAGCAGAAAATAAGACCACACTCTTTACAGACCATAGTCTCATGCTTTTCCTCAGGAGCCATATTTTATTTTCTTTCAGGCAGGTGTATATTTTTCTTTTGGACAAAAAGAAATGCCCACCGCCCTCCTTTTTTGTTTTTCTTTGTATCTTGCTTTTTGGAATGTCCCTGCACTTTCTGGTTTCAGTTAGCAGTTGGATCAAAAGAACTACTCAGGGAGGGAGCAAGGAGGAGAGAGACCTGATCATAACATTACAGCTTTGTTTCCTTTGTTTTGTTAACAACAGCATGCAAAAGGACTGAAGTTGCAGACATCATATTTGTGGTGCATGGATCAAGAAATGTCACAGACTTGCAGTTCCAGGGCATTCAGAGGATCATGGAGGCTGTGGTGAATGACTCTCTGGTTGGAAAAGACAATGTTCAGTTTGGGGCTGTGGTCTATAGCACTAATCCTCAGGATCATTTCTCACTGAATACATACTCGGCTAAATCGCAGGTCAGAGAAGCAATCTCTAACTTGACACCTATGCCAGGGCTAACCTTCACAGCAAGGGCTTTGAACTTTGCCAGGGAGAGATTTGGTATGGCTTATGGTGGTCGTACATCATCTCTTAGTGTCACCCGGATTCTTGTGCTTATTACTGATCAGCCAACTTCACCCTCGGATAGACCCAACCTTCCAGCAGCAGCAAAATCTTTGAAGCAAGATGGTATCCATGTCTTTGCTGTTGGAGTGGATGAAGCCAGTAGAACAGAGCTTGAAGAAATTGTGGGAGAGCGAGAGAGATTGTTCTTTGTGCAGAGCTATAATGAACTGGAAAGCTTACACAAAAACCTCACTCATACAGTATGTGATGAGGCAAAGCCAGGTAAGTGAGACCTTTAAATTGAGCTGTTGGTTTTTTTCTTATATGTTTTCTGCCATTTATCCAGATTATCTAGGTTGTCACAGGCAATGTCAGTCACAGGCAATATCCATTTTTAAAATGTTCTATTGAGACAAGGTTAAGGGGTGGTTGGAAATAGCGTAGAGACTATTTCCAGTATGGAAAGCCGCACATGTCAAAATCAGATCCCTTCACCATCATTTTCTTATGCACTTTTCCAGCAAAGCACGTTCTTTACTTTAAGCACATGATTAATCCCATTGACGTTTATGGGAGCATTCATGTGCTTCAAGTGCTTTTGCTGGATCAGGGCTTTTGTTTCCCTTTTCTCTCATACCAGCATCCCCCCTTTCCTCCTCCTCCTCCTGCCAGCAGTTCTGTGTGATCTCCATCCCCCTTCTTTCTATACCAGGACCCCCCATGTCCCTCTCCCCATGCCAGGGATTCCGTGTGTCCCTCCATTCTCCCTTCACCCCATGCCAGGGCCCCCTTTCTCCTTCCCATGCCAGAGGCTCTATGTCCTTCCCCATATCCCTTTTCCCTCCATTTTCACTCCATTCCCTCCCCCGTTTCCCTCTCACCCCCAGGGTTCTGTGTGCCGCCTGTTCCCCCTTCGCCCTATGCCAGGGTCTCCCTTTCTTCCTCCCCATGCCAAGGGCTCTATGTGCACCCCCATACCCTCTCCCTGCATTATTTCTTATTTATTGGTCACAGACGGGCAGAGGTATGCCATGAAAGTGAGGTAAAGGGCCTCACTTCACTCAGCCAATAAAAATGTATAAAGCATAAAAACCCTTTTACTTCCAGAGATAAGGTAAGTACCAATTGCTTGGGCTAGCTTAAACTTCCCTTATAGGCACCTTACTCCATAACTGTCCTATATAAGGCTTCCTTGAATCTGGTCCCTTGGTCTGAACCATTATGGTAATTTCTATGTTCCTATGAATGGACAATTTACACTATGTGGAAGGGTGAAAGTAACTTAAGGGACTTACCGGTATGCAGAGCGGCCCGGGTCCTGAGCAAGGTGAGGGGGCGGCTTTGGGCCCCCAGAAGGGGCAGGGCTGGGGCCAGACTCCCCCAGCCAGTCCTTCAGCACTGCCTGGCCTGCGCCGCCCGTGGCTCTGGCGGTGATTTAAAGGGCCCGGGGCTCCCGGCTGCTGCCCCTGCTAGTGCTACCCCGGGTCTCCAGCAGTAATTTAAAGGGCCAGAGCCCCAGGCCCTTTAAATCACTGCTGGAGCCCTGGGACTCCTGACTGCCGCTACCGCTACCCCAGGGCTCCGGCTGTGATTTAAAGGGCCTGAGGCTCCTGGCTACTGCTACCACGCCAGCAGCCAGAGCCCTGGGCCCTTTAATTTGCTGCTGGAGCCCCAGGGCTCCCGGCTGCTACCACTACCCCAGGGCTCCGGCAGTGATTTAAAGGGCTTGGGGCTCCCAGCCGCTGCTACTGCTACCCCAGGGCTCCGGCGGTGATTTAAAGGGCCCAGGGCTCCACCTGCTGGCGTGGTGGCAGTGGCGGCTGGAAGCCCCGGGCCCTTTAAATCACCGCCGGAGCCCTGGGTAGCAGCGGTGGCGGCCGGGAGCCCCGGGGCTCTGGCGGCGATTTAAAGGGCCGGGGGCTCCGGCCACTGCTGGGATCCAAGGCCCTTTTAAATTGTTGGGCCCCGGGGAAGCTGCCCCTTTTGGCCCCCCTCATCAGCAGCCCTGCTGGTACAATCAGCTGTGTACTGGCTCTTACTGGTATACCATACCGGACTGGACTGGCTTACTTTCATCTCTGACTATGTGAGAATTAAGCTACGAGAAGCAAATTTTCAGCATGTAGAGGCTCGCTTGTGCTTGTAGAAATTTACCACAATAATGCACCTATATTTAGCAGGACAACTGCAAACGGGTATTTAAGTGTCTAAAGACCCATTTGTGTGCACATTTGTGGTAACAGTGTCTGTAGTTGTGGTAAATATATGCACAAATGTTCTGTCTGCTGAAAAATCAAATGGGCCTTTTTATGCACTGAGAGTGTGGACGTAGGCTTGCAAAATGGGTGATTTTCCCAGCACTAGAATGTCCTCCCTTTCCAAAGTGCTTCTGGGACATGGGGAAAATACCCACATTATTTGGATATCCTACTTCTCAATTCACCTTAAACATTTCTTGAAAAAAGACTCTCTACACCAGTGGTGGGCAACCTGCGTCCCATGGGCCACACGCAGCCCATCAGGGTAGTCTGCTGGCGGGCTGCCAGATAGTTTGTTTACATTTGCACGGCTGCCCACAGCTCCCAGTGGCTGCGGTTCTCTGTTCCCAGCCAATGGGAGCTGCACGAAGTGGCGCGGGCCGCAGGGACATGCTGGCTGCTGCTTCCCACAGCTCCCATTGGCCGGTAACGGCATATCGCGGCCACTGGGAGCTGCGGGCGGCCATGAAATGTAAACAACCTGTCTGGCAGTCTGCCAGTGGATTACCCTGACGGGCCGCAGGTTGCCCACCACTGTTCTACACACTCTTCTCCTAGCACAGGGGTGGGCAAACTTTTTGGCCTGAGGGCCAGATCTGGGTATGGAAATTGTACGGTGGGCCATGAATGTTCACAAAATTGGGGGTTGGGGTGCCGGGGGGTAAGGGCTTTGGCTGGGGGTGCGGGCTCTGGGGTGGGGCTGGGGATGTGAGGGGTTGGGGGTGCAGGAGGGTGCTCCGGGCTGGGACCGAGGGGTTTGGAGAGCAGGAGGAGGATCAGGGCTGGGGCAGGGGGTTGGGGCACAGGAGGGAGTCAGGGGTGCAGGCTCTGGGCGGCGCTTACCTCAAGCAGCTCCCAGAAGCAACGGCATGTCCCCCCCTCCGGCTCCTACGTGGAGGCATGGCCAGGCGGCTCTGTGCGCTGCCCTGTCCACAGGTGCCACCCCTGCAGCTCCCATTGGCTGTTCACTGAAGTATACAAGCATTGTACAATTCTGATGTAAACTTTCATTTTGAAGTACCAAGCTCACCGACTAGAAGCTGCCTGTAATAAATGTCATGCACCTGAGATAGCTCCTGCAGCACAAACTTGTTCACAAACAAGAAACTGCCCAACCTTCCAGTAAACCAACAGACCTTCTGGTTCCCATGGCATTCAAGGCAGTCAGGAAGCTCAGCATTCTTCTTCTAGAATGCAAGCAATTTTTCTTATTATGACGCTTCAACTTGTGGCAAGAAAGGGATGGTGTTTTACTTGATTACACCTGCTGACTGTCCAACACTTGTCATTCAGTGAGAATTAAAGATTAACCTTATTCCACTGATAGCCTGACTTCAGACACAAGTTCTGCATAGCCTAGTCTCACCTCCTCTCTGCAAGAAGTCATAGTTATGGTATATAAAGTGTCCAGGAGCTAGTTTCTCCCAGCATTTGCTACTTGATACATGGTGAAGTTTCTTTCTGCACAGAGGACCTAAGGGTTTAAGTGGAACTTATGTGGTGGATTGACCTTGTGCTGGCATCTCTACACAGTGGGAAATTTCACCCAAAGAGAGCAGGGTATTGGAAAGGTGAAATGGATGAGCATTCCCAGATTTGCATAGCTAAGTAAATTTTTTTCCCCCCTGCAGCTTGTGGCAACCAACAGGCAGATCTTATATTTTTGATTGATGGGTCATTAAGCATATCTGCACGTAACTTTTCTGCCATGAAAACATTCACGAAGGAAATCGTGGACAGTTTTATTATTGCTCAGGACAAAGTCCAAGTTGGCGTGGTCCAATACAGCAAAGATCCCCAGAAGGAAATATACCTCAATGAATTCCACTCTGACACAGCCATAAAGGAACGGATTGACAGCATTGTCCAGTTAAAGACCTCCACCTTTACTGGCAAAGGTCTGAGGTTTGTCAAGAGCTTTTTTGAGACTGCCAAGGGTGGCCGGAAAAAACAAGGAGTTTTGCAGAGCCTCGTAGTGATTACTAATGGGCAGTCTAATGATGTGGTGGATGAGGCAGCTATTGCTCTGAGGAATGATGGGATACACGTCTTTGCAATTGGCCTAGGGATTCCAAACTCATTTGAGCTTCTTCGAATCGCCGGTGATGCACGCAGGGTGTATGTGCTGGAGAATTTTGAAGTGCTGAAAACCATAGAGAGAAGGATTGTCACTGAAATCTGTGAATTGGAAGATCGTCCTAGCCAGGGTAAGTCACAGAAATCTTTTATTGAGTACATCTACCTACAGATTCTGTGTCCCACACTTTTGTGATTAGTCAAAGGAAAGAAATCACATTTCTGTAGATCACAGATAATTTAGCATGTTTTGGAGTGACATAAAGCAGCCAAAGCTACTAAATCTGGCCCTATAACTTCAGCAGGACATAAGCAGCGGGTGCAGACTAACTCATAAAAAACACAAAGCTCCTATTTTCATGCAAGAGTTGGTAGCAGAGCTGGGTGAAAGTTGGAAATTTTGTTCCATGGGAAATTCTTAAAAAAAAAAAATCATAATAATCATTCCATTTTGGAATGAAAAGTAACAGTTTTAGAAACTTCCTGTGGAAGGGAAAATCTGAAACAAAAATTCTTTAGGAATGATTGAAACATTTCATTTAGAAAACTTTTGAAATGAAATAGAGCCCATGTTCTCACGCTCCCAGCTCAGCCATGGCTTTCAGAGCTTCTAGACTCCTAGCTCCCTGTCAGGCCTAGAAGACTGACACAGAAACAGGCGCCTTGCTCTGAGCACCACAGCTGATTTGGGAGACTTGCAGCTTGGAAGCTGGGTCGGTGGAGCATGACCAGTGCACCCACAACTAAGCAGACAGTGGCTAAAGCCTTGCATGGTGTGGGGTGCACAAGGACAATACCTAGATGCTTAACAGATCAGTGCTGAAATAAAAACTGCCCCCACCAGAGTCCAATATTACTGCTGTGGAAATGGAGCATGTTCACATCAGGGAGATGATGTCTAATGCAGCAGCACCTCCTGGTGTTCCTTCACCAGAGAGCAGTGAGCTTCGCCAGCAGAGAGCCACATAGTAAATACATTATAAAAATGCAAACTCTCTTAGAGGCGAGAGAGAAGAAAATATTTGATCTCACTGTTTTGTAACAACAGCCACAACAAAAAAACAACCCAAACACATTTGATAAGCTAATTTTATCTTGATCTCTGTCATCTTCTATTTTCCCTGATTTTTTGTCCTTTAAACCTTTTTTGCTGACATCAAAAATTCCCCCTCCCCCCCCCCCACTCTGACTGACCAAAACCTTGCATTTCCATTCGTTTGCAATAATTTTATGTATATAAACATACTGAGGGCACTCATACTACAGTGATAGGGGGTCAAGATAGAAATCTGGATGCATGGACAGATAGATTTAAAAATAATCATTTCACAAAGTAAGCATTTTTACATGCAAATGAATACCTCTACATGTGCTGCAGATTCACATATGCATTTTGCAGCACAATATGGATAATGATTTTTGAAAATGTACATAATGCAGTGCTAAATTAACCTTTGGTATAGTGAATTCAGTTACACCAGGTATAGTTAATTCAGTTACACCAGGGATGAATCTGGCCCACAGTTACAGCTATAAAATGTGTGTGTTCTGTGAGTGTATGTGAGGTATAGACACACATGTATAAAATTATTCTACAGACACACTAATATCTATGTATATCATAGAATATCAGGGTTGGAAGGGACCTCAGGAGGTCATCTAGTCTAACCCCCTGCTCAAAGCAGGACCAATCCCCAGACAGATTTTTGTCCCAGATCCCTAAATGGCCCCCTCAAGGATTGAACTCACAACCCTGGATTTAGCAGGCTAATGCTCAAACCACTGAGCTATCCCTCCCCCCAAATTTAAGTGAACTGGGAAAAGGTGACACGGGTAGCAACACTTCTAACAATTTTGGCCTTAATCTTTCTGTGCCTCTATTCCCCATATGTAAAATGGAGGTAATAGTATCACCTTCCACCTCAAGGGTGTTGTAAAGATAATTTCATTAATGTTTGTAAAGCACTAAGATACTATCATAAGTGCATTATAGAAATGCCCGTGAGGAAATTAATAATGCTGCGTGCAGCACAGGGTTTGGATGGAGTGCAGTAAATAAGGCATGGGGGGCACACAATTAAATGATGAGGATAAAAAGAAATATTCAATAACTTCCCACCTAGTGAGCACCACCCGTTGTGTGTACTGAATGAGGCACGGGTCCTGTGGAAAAAATAGCATGTGATCATGTAATTATCATGCATCATAATGCATATGGACAAGAGGGCTGAATTAAGGTTGCACAGGCAACCTTTATTCTGGCATTTCCTAATATTTGAGTGCTTCTCTTGCACTCGAGTGAATCTTATTGTAGGTTTCTTCTGATGTAATATATACTATATCTGAATGTGTGTTCGTGTCTTTTTCTTCTTTTCTCATGTATATTTGAATATATATGAGAAAATAAAATAAGAAAAGAAAATGGATATATTCTCTGTCTGTCTGAGTTAACCATAAATATATGTAAACAAAACAATGCAACGTAATACTTATGTTCTCAATTATTGGTACAGCAAATAGAGGAAAGGCACAGGTTACCAGATTTCCTTTCTCGATACTATGGTTCTATTTCTCTATACTGCTCTGACAGCAGAATAGTGTTAAGAGGAGCTGAGCACCATGGAGGCAGCCTTATCTATACACAACAGTTACGTTGCTTTAACTATTCTGGTATTGTTTAAAGTGGTATAACCCTCCTGGTGTGGATGCAGTTATACTGCTGGCCTTGTCTACAATAGAAAGAGTTTGCTGATTTAGCTATACTGGCATAGCTGTACCCACAAACCCTCCTAATGTAGATTCAGCTTACACTGACAAAAAACTTATTTTGCCAGTATAATTTATACCAGTTCCTAGAATGAAATAAGTTATTCCTGCAAAAGGCCTTTTTTGCCAATATAACTGTGTCTATAGATGGACACAGCTATGCGGGTATAAGTTTTCAATGTAGACCAGGCCATATAAAGGTGCTTATTCTGGTATAGCTTATTCCCACGTGAGAAGGGGGATAAGGAGGAAAAGCTATAGCTGTTTAAGGCACCTTTATACTGGTATAGTTGTGCCCACATTAGGAGTTTGACTGGCATAGCTAGTTCGGTAAAAAAATCCAACCCTTGACCCTCTTCATTATGCTGTTAAAAAATTGTGTGTAGGCCAGGCCTTAGGAACCTCATCAGGAAGGAAGGGGTAGCTAAAATACTCCACTGTGCTTCACATTGTCACTTACTGTTAGTGGGCACTTTGGGAGCTACTTTTCACTTCAGTCATGAAAATTCAGTCTTCATGTCTTCATTGTATGAACTCAGTCAAGCCACTTTACCTCTCCGTACTGTTTCCCTACCAGTAAAATACTTGTCAACCTCTCATGAGTCTGGTGAAGATTAACTGATGTCTGTAACATGCCGTGCCATCCTGGGACCCAAGTACAAAGATGCCCTCAGATACATGGGCTCAGTTTCCGTGGACTTCCCATTGAAATCCACAAGCGCTGCATGGGCATGGTGTAAATTGTTATTGAAATAAATGGGGCTATGCTAGTTTACACCAACTGAGGATCTGCCCCCTGAATTCTTTTCAAGTAGTGTGGTCCAAGTTCAGGTCAGGCCTCAGAAAAAAGCTCCTGATGAAAACATGCATCCTGAATGCTAGGAAGGACCACCTACTAGAATCAGACAAGTGATCTCTTCATGGAAACGTTTAATCAGAAACATTTTATGGAAGTACTAAATCACAGTTCTATGGCCTTGTGCCGATCTCTGGCACACAAGTGTACTGTGAATCTAGCGTTATTCATTGATATTGTGACTGTAATTTCAGAATCTGAGTTAGTGTGTGTGTGTGTGTGTGTATTTAGCTGTTTTGGAGAAAGTTGTTTTTTCATTGCCAGAAGAACAAATGCGGCAGTAAATACTGTCACAGAGAAATAGTTTTACAGGCTTGAGTGCTGGTGCTATTTCCTAACTTTTAAAACTCTGTGCTTCAGCATGCGTAGCCAAAAGATTGTAATTCAGCTTAATAACAAATAGTTTCCTCCAGAGGGCATTTTGTACTGTAAAAGGAAGTACTGAACTTTAACAGTTTAAAGGATGATAGCCAAGTGGAGTGAAATCACCAGAAGCCTGCAATCTATTTTGTTAACTATAGGATATGTGCACCCCACTATTATGAGAGTGAGGAAGTTAGTATCAATTGGCAATCAATAAAATTATTATTAACCCTTAAAAGGATGAGGCAACAGTTTGCTGGAGCATCTACCCCAGTATAATTGACTTACTTTTTTAAGTGACAAGTGACACAGCACAAACTCAACTTTCTGGTGCCTGGCTTTCTGTATCGGTGGTGAGTAAAGACTAGCTGAATGCCTCAACCCAAACATTCTTAATTTCTATTCTATTCTCTGTACTCTGACATCCCCAACCACCTCATTATCCCATATCCGCAGTTTCTTTCACAAATGAGTGAAAGCGTAGGAGAAAAGGGAACGTGAAGGAGCAGAGAAGGGATTAAATGGAACAATTATAGTTAATGACTTTAGCCCATCAGAATGCATTCATAGCAAACTAGGCAACCGCATTGTCCTCTAAAAACATTTCAGAGAGTCACAATTGGAGAGGAAACAAAAGAAATGGGATGTTTTGTTTTAAAGATATAATTGCATCAGCTAGAAATTGTTGACAAGTGGGCTACAGTGGAAACTTAACTACAGGTGGATAGTGTGGTCAGGAGAGACAGAACAAACTTCAATATAGGGATCAAGGGATCAACAAGATACAAAGAACAATACGTCAGGTGGTATGGCTGGGAAAAAGTAGCCAAATCACAAAATATTGGCCATTTTTTATCACACTTTGTAGGAACTCTTCCATAACCAGTATATGCCATACTTTACAGTACTAATCACTCACTGTGGAGATGTATTTCCCATGTCCTCCCTTCCCTCTTCCTTTCCCACCTTCTGAGTGTTTCTCTTACTCACTGTTTGATGTCTAATGTATAATTCGATTCTGTGAATAATTACTGCCAACCACATTGCATTGGAGCCAATAGCACTACTCACAGCAGGAAGCCCAACACTCAGTGGTAAGTGTTTGCAGGATCAGGCCCTTAAATTCTAATCGGGAGCTGAGACAATCTCTATCATTTGTTCTGTTAAGTGCCCCTCATGTTTAGGGTACTAAATACATAATATTGATGATCAATTCATTTTTTTAGCTATGCTTTTGGTAACGCAAAAGTTACATCCAGTTAGAGGTAGGTGTGTGTGTGTGTGTGTGTGTGTGTGTGTGTGTGTGTGTGTGAGTTTCTCTCTCTCTCTCTCTCTCTCTCTCTCTATGTGCAGTAATATAAGCCAGCTCCTCAGCTGGGATAAATTGACGTAGCCCCGTGCAAGTCAATGGAGTGACACCAATTTACACCAGTTGAAGATCTGGCTCTCTAATTCTTCTAATTTTAAATTGAGCATGTTTTGTCACTGGTGCAGATAGAAAACAAGATCATAAAATAGTGCTTGGATTTGATGACTGATTTTCTTCCTTGCCCCCTTCTCAGATTGCAACATAGATGTTTCTGTAGGAATTGATATTTCGAGGCGCATGAAGTCTATATCTGCACTGAACGAGAAGCAGAAACTGCAAAAGTACCTGCCCAAACTTCTGCACCGGATGGAGTCCTTGACTAAAATCAGTTGTACTGTTGAGTCTCAAATCAACATCAGGTTCAAGTACCAAGTGTTTGCACAGAACGGCCAGTCCTTGTTTGACTCCGATTTTGAAGCCTATGACGAAGAGATCCTCCAGAAATTCTTAGTTGTACAGACCATTGTAGACACCTATCTGAATGCAGACTTCTTAGAGTCATTTTGGGAGAAATCCCTCAGACTGGCCTCTGCTAAAGTGAAGGTAAATAAAACGGAATAAATTATATTGTTTCAAAGTATATTAAGTCTAGTGCTGGTGAACATTGCATGGGAAATAAAGACTTCATGAATGTTCTTTTAGATAAATCCTTGGATTCATTTTGACAGCATTCATGACCCCTTGCTGCAAACAATTGTGTAAGTGAATTTTTGCTCCTGGAATTCAAATACTTGGGCAAATCCATATGCTCACAAGTATTTACATGTGAAGTTTTCACGTGTCCATTTTGGAGGCAGTTAGTAGGTTAAGGAGCAGAACGGTACTCTATAATAGATGGCTAATCACACAACCCGAGTAGTAATAACTCAAAGCAAACATCATCGCAAATGTTTCATGGCAGAAACATATTCACAGAAACCACTCATTAAATACTTTCAAATAACAAATGAGTAAAGTCGAGGTCTGTCCGTGGATAATTTACGAACAGAGAAAAGTGTCTATATTTGTAGACTAACATGTCCACTGCAAATAGTTCATCCAGGTTGAAATGAGACCAAGAGAAAGCAAAGATCTAAAGGGCTGATCCAATCCCTATTGAAGTCAAGGGGAACCTTTCCATTGACTTGAATAGAAATTAGACACCTCCTAGGATTTCAGATTCAGTGCCTTTTATGTTTTTTTCTGATTAAGAAACTAGTTCTGGAAAGACTTTTTACATACTAAGGCACTGATTCAGAAAAACATCCTTCTAAGATATAAACTGTATCTTCCAGAGAGAGTTTATTTTAATTCTTACAAAGTATTGGTAGTTTAGAATGGTCTTAATTTAGAGTGCTCACTGAAAAGTGTATTCTCACTTCCATTCTGAGGAGCAGACACAAATCCCCATGCTGACAGGTAAGAATATAAACTCCATATTCAGCATTTGTAGAATTCTTTCTTCTCAACATAGGTGCATGGAGTGGTGCATATCTAATGTTTTGGTTTTTTTTTCTTTTTCTGTTAAAATCTGTAAAGTGCAGGTCTTCTCTGAATGATGACTATAAAATGGCATCATAAGGGCCCACTTGTAATGCATCTCAATGATTTCTGAACAAATTTGCTCAGTTTACATATAAAAATGTTATTTTTCTAACTGCCAACTCTACTAATGCAATGTGGAATCTGAGAGTTGAGCTGAGTTCTTCCCTCCTAATGCATCATCACCAGTAACAAAGATTCTGCAGATCTAATGCTGCTCTTAGCTACATCTGTACAACTCCACTGCCATCACCATTCTAGGAATCGGAAGGTAGCTCAAACTTCATACCCATTTAATTCTTGGCCACACTGCTGAGACAGCCAAAAGGGCACCCGTTATTACCCTTTGTTCTGGCACTTGTGTGCGTGACATAAACATCTGACTATTTACTTAGAACAGGACTGAGATCATGAATTCATTTTTCATAGGTCACTGAACAGCAACACATTTTTGCTCATTAATTGGATGAGACACAAAGATTCTGGTTCTTTGTGGTTTGCCGTTCATCTGTTGTTTGTTGTTATGTTTGAGTATGGAATATTGGACCCAATCTTGAAGTCATTAACTGAGCAAGGCTCGGATTTATTCCAATCAAAAACTGATCCCACCATGCTTAGAGTGGGAACAGAAAGGTACTTTCCAACACTTTGTGATCGATTATTTGCACAGCAGAGGCTCAATTTGCCACTGCATCTGAGCTCCACTAGGGCAGATGGGGGGCCTGATCTAACTTATGCCACTGGAGACTTTATACCACTGGAGGATGGGGTAGTGAAGTTTTGCTTCACCATACCCGCTGTCTTGGTGTCAACATGCCCTCTCTCTCCTCCTACCCTGGGGCTGTGGAGTGGCTGGCGCAGGAGCTGACCTAGCCGCATATGCCAGCCTTACACCAGTGGAGAGTTCCCGTGTGCTAGGGGAATTCTCTGCTGTCCACCTATGGCTGAATCAAGCATCAAGTAGGCAGAATGGACCAGGGAACCCAGCCCACCATTGTTATGTTGTTAGTCTGACAAATCCAGTCCTGGACTGCCATCACCCAAAGGAAAAACACTGCTTGTTCTAAATTCTCTCAGTTACACCAGGGTCAATCTGGAGAACTCCACTGATTTCAGTGAAAGTCCTTCAAATTGTAAACAAGAATAGAATTGGCTCCTTGCCCAGCACACCTGGGTACTTAACTGAACTGGTTGTACTAATAAAAGTTGCAGTCTACAAGGTAAATCCTTCCAAATGGAGCCACTGTCAAACTAGAGATATTTTGGGGCTTAATTACCACGACTCTGTCCTTTTTAAGCTACATTGTCACCAATTTTCAATACTAAATTGTAATTTTTAAATTAACCTGGAATATAAACTCATCACATTGCACAGCACTTTGAGAACTACCAGGGAAAGCGGGGGGTGGTATTATTATGGTTGTTTTTTCATATTTTCTGCCAACCACCTTGATAATTCAGTGTTTTGTTCATAGGTTCTCTTAGTGTTTACAGATGGGCTGGATGATACTATAGAAATGCTCAGAACAACAGCAGACTCCCTTCGCATTAAAGGTATGGCCTGTTATGACGGTCCAGCATTGCATCAGAAGATAAAGCTACAATGCGAAAAGAGCCTCACAAGCATGGAGTCTCAGAGCCTGGGTCAACTGACTCAGGCCCACATAATGGGGCCAAAAATAGCAGTGTAGACGTTCTCGCTTAGGCTCTGAGACCCACACCTTTTGCTGGGTTTCAGAGGCTGAGCTCCAGCCCAAAAGGAAATGTTTACATTGCTATTTTTACCTCTGCAAGCTTGAGTAAGTCAACCTGGACTCTGAGATTTGCTGCTGTGGGTTTTTTGGTTTATTTTGCAATGTAGACATATCCAAAGAGTGCTACATTCCTCTCCCACTGCAGACCTTCCACATACTCATGCTGATCTGCCCGAGAATTCTTGGTGAGCACCCTCCCTTCTCTGGGTGAGCCAGGGCTCTCAATTCCCTGAATGATTTGTAGACTTTACCTCTCCCAGTATGATCATGAGGGTTTCCGCCACCAGCTCCATTTTCACTCTAGGATAATAATTGTTAGAGAGCTTATTCCTTCACTCTCCCACTTCCCTGGTCCTTCTCGCATGAACAGAAAGCAACAATACCCGAAGTCCGAAGGTGCAAACAATTCGATGTTTATTGGGGTGAACTTCCAGCAAGCTTAAATCCAAGTCCCTTTTTCCTTATTTTCGAACCCAACTTACTTCCGGTTTGCCCCTAATTTATATAGTAATATTCACAGCTATACCTTAACCAATCATTCTACTGAAATTTACCTAACCAATCCTAACATATTGTAACATGATTAGCTAACCAATTATATCCCACCACCTTAATTAGTTTACACCCAGCAAAATTAATTATACAGCAGACAGAAACAATCACAGAACCAGACAGAGACCATGCAAATAAACATAGCAAAGTGGGAACTATAATGACAAAACAATACAGAAGTGAGGATTTTACAACTACATCTATACAGACATAAGGATTTCCCAGCTGTGTCTATTGATAAGTGAGTTCTTACCAGACAGAAAACTATGAAACTAAATTTCCTTTTACATCTTCTAGGCTTTTCCCTTTCTCTGGAGGTGATAGATCAGATCACCTTCCTAACAGCCCCAGATTGCCTTATTTCAATATGGCTAGTTTGGAATGTGAGGATGTGACCACACGCTTCCCAGCGTATGGCTGCCTCTTAGCCAAAGGCATTGGCCTAAGAACAGGGCCTCAGATTGTCACAGTGAGAGAAGGCCCTTACACAGATTCTTTCTTTTATACCTCTATAACTAGCTAAATGATAAACATATACCTAAATTCTTAAAGTATAGGCCTTTACAGACAGGCTTGAATATCTATATCCTAACAATAATCTTTTTATTAAACCAAGAGGGCTGACTGTTTTTGTTTCTGCCACTTTTAGCGTGATTTAAATGTCCAGATTCCTCTATTTTCCTTTCTAAGTCTAAGAGCAGAGACTGTATGATGATCTCTCACCTTGCTGTAATAGCAAGGAGTAGATGTAAGCACAGAGTAAATAGATGGCTGCCTAAGACACTGCATTTCAGGAGGCAACATAACTTTGGAAGGAATTCTACTCCAGAAAGTAGTTGTCTGATCTTGAAAATATTCAAGTCGACATTTTTCATTTCAGGTCAGATGAAACCTTTTGAAATGTTTCATTTTGGTTTTGACCTTCTTTCTTTTTTAATCTCCAGTTAGCTCAAATTTTGAAACAAAAAGTCATTATGAACAGGAAAAGCAGCACTTTTCATTTTGAAAATATCAAAATGAAACTGACATTTTCAAAATCCTTTCCTCAACATTTTTTTGAGTCGGTAAATTTGTCGAACCCAACCCTGTTCTGCAAATGGTTTCGGTTTTGACGAATCCACATTTTTTTGACAAAACAGATTAATTGAAAAATTCCTGACCAGCTCTATCTATGGGTCACTTCAAAAACCAAATCATTTACGGTCATTATTCTAATTATTAAAGCAGATCAGATAAACAACAGTTTTAACATATTTCTTTTTTAAGGCCTTGATGCGCTTTTAATGGTTGGCCTGGAAAATATGCAGGATTTGAATGAACTTCAGGAAATAGAGTTTGGCAGAGGATTTGGATACAAGCAACCTCTGAGCATTGGATTTCCAGAACTTCCAAACATCTTACGGAAAGAACTTGTAAGTCCCTTTGTGATATGAACAAAGACAAAACCTATCACATTTTGACAATCTGATAGATAAGCTAGTATATCACGAATTGTTTTGCAGGAAATGGTTGCTGAAAGAAAATGCTGCAATGTTCTTGCTAAGTGTGTTGGCGAACATGGTTTTCGTGGTGTAACTGGACCTCCTGGGAGGAAGGTAAGTCTACAAAAGTGTCTACTGGTTAGTTATTTTGTTTTGCCAGTCTTTTTTTAAAGTAGTTCAGTGCTACACACATAAAATACCTGCAAATCTTGCCAGTACAACAGGAAACAAAAGCTTGATCATTTCTCTAGTGTAAATTTTATTCTAGTATAAGTTTTTCTTATAAAAATATAGACCAGTAAAACACACAGAAAAACAGGTGGCCTTGGTGACTTTTGACACTAATGGCCATTGGACACACTCCTTGGGCCAATTCAGTAATCGGAAGTAACCCTGTCCCTTCCTCACTTGACCATGACAATTATGGCTAATTGCCTTTGGTAGCTTACTGCTGCTGTATTAGCAATTTGAACGCTAGCCGTCTTCCCACCAGTCACCAACATCACCCCTCTCTTGTGCTTTCTTGTTCTTCTTTCTCATCCCACCTCTGCATCCACATGCAGGAGTTGCCACACCTGTCCTTCCAAAACTTCCTGTTTAAAAAAAAATCTTGTTACTCATGTTGCTTTCTCGGATATTTTCCTGAAATCCATCAGATTGGGTTATAGGGGGCTCTATTGGTTGAAGTTTTCCCACTTGGAATGGTGCTATAACATGGAGCATGCCAGCCACCCCACACAGATGCTGGTTTATAAAACAAACTGTAGTCATTTTTCTTGTATAATATTTAATAATAATACTTTGAGTTGCTATAGTGCCATTTATCTGAGATACTTGTTATTAATTAATTAAATAAATTAAGCTTTGCTTTGTAATACCCCTGTATTGTTGTTCTAACCATTTTACATATGAGTAAACTGAGGCCCAGAGATTAAGTTCCAGATATTTCAGCTCCGGCCTCCTTTCTTTTTCTGATCACAGAGCATGGAAGGATCTGGCCCACTCCATTCTATCTGCTTCTTTAATAAAACGCAGAGTGAAAAATATGTCTCACTTAGAAGAGAGACAAAAAAATGATTATAATACACTATTGCTGAATGAATATGGACTGGAGAGGAGGGAGGGGGAAGTATTTGCAAACATTGATTCAAACAAGGGCCATGAATTATCTTTGACATTCACAACCCTTTTCTTTCATTCTAGGCTAACATTCTTTTAGTTACAAGTATATTCTTAGAAACCAAAGACTTTTGTGCAAATCTGTGCACTGGTCAATCTGTTTGATCTGGATTTGTTTTCCCTTTTGCTGTTTATAAAAAATTGTCATCCACTCAGGAAGGTGAAACTTTAGATGTGATTAGAGTGAATTGTCTGACATCACAAATAATGAATAGTTGAAGCAAATAATTTGTAAATAACCCATATGTTGGAATATGCTCCTGTATAATGGTCAAACAATTTCCAGTAGCAGACAAAATTAGCCTGTTCATGGATAATTTGCCATCCAAAGAGGCTTAATTAACTATTTCCTATAAATAAGTCGTCATCTTGACAGTGTAGACTTTGTAGGAAGGAAAGGAAAGACAGATGTAAAAACCACTCTTTTATGGCAAACAGCCAGGGTTTCTGAAAGACAGTTTCTTGGCTTATTTTTAATAGTCACAGAAAATTTAAACACCCTCTTCAGATATCTGTTCACTGTTATCATATCCCATCTTAGTCCTCACTTAGGCAATATGTATATACGCAGTTCTTATCACTCCTGTCAGCTCCTTGTTTATTTTTGCTGCTCTTCTATGAATCCCTCTATTTTGTCAATTTTTTTCTAGCAATATGGTGCCCAGATGATAAAAGCAATATGCAAGACACAGTTTCAGCAGGCCTGTGTAGACATTCCTTGTCCTGTGACATGTAGCCTTTGAAACTGCAGCCGACAATCATTCAAGCAAACTTTGGTGCCGTATTATATTGAGAATTCATGACTAATTGCCTGTCCACTGCCATTCCTAGTTCTTTTTCAGCATTTTGGTTTTCCAGGCTTCTCCTGCACACGGAATGTTTGCATTTTGGGTTATTTTTCCCAAGAGAGGATGAGTTTTTCATCATTCCAAATCAAATATAAATTTAGTCTTTGCATATATCTTTAATATCTCTGGGTCTCTTTGTAATATATTATTTCTCTGTTCTCAATAGTATTTAACTCCTTACAATATAGTACCCTCTGTGAACTTTGTTAGCATGCTTATTATTTCCTATTCCAGATGATTAATGAAGATATTGAATAAAATGAAACCTACCATTGATCTCTCTGGTGACAGCCAGAGAGCACACCAAAGGCTTATCCTGAAACTGTGTACTGAACACTGTTCTAATTATTATTTCTCAAGTTTATACGACTTTTAGTAGTGGCTGTGGAAATTCCAAGATGCAGCTTTTTTTCTCCCCTTTATAATCGACTCTGGTTTGAAAGGTATGTTTTCTATCTGCACATGCAGAGTTCTGCAGCCACCCTCCCACTGCTCTACAGCCAAAATGCTTATGAAATAAATGTAGTCAAACTTTACTAATTCTGGGTCACTGAGAATGAAAATGATGCTTAAAATTGTTGATTGGCTCTAGTTTTCAAGATATGCTATTGGGTCAGTATATACGACCCTTGACTTGGGAATGGCGGAGGATAAGTGAGTTATAAAGCGAAGGGATCTCAATTTAAACCAGAAATGACTAAAATACATCTTTGACTGGATCTATGAATAAATCTATGACTGGGTTTGGACAGTACTTGCTTTTTAGGGAAAACAATGAATGATGCAATCTGAAGCTGGTATTGCGTCATACATGATATGAATTGCATCATGTTATTCCTAGAAGTCATGGATGATGCAATCATAACGAAGCTTACATCACTCTGCTGAACAAATTGCCCTATATCAGCTCTAGAAGTCATACAGTGTCGTACTCTCTTATTTGTCAGTGTTTGATTTTGCAAAGGGACACATTTCTGTTTAGCCAAAGTGAGCAGAGATGCCTCGTACTTGTGTGAACAGTGCAGATAACTTCTGCTATGTTTGTGGTGAAGTGACTTTTGCATCACAAAAGCGCAGTATAACCACTATGGTTAAGAAAGCCTATCACCTTTATTTTGGCTGCAAAATTGGAGATCAGGACCTGAGGTGGGCCCCACACATATGCTGCAACACTTGTGCAACAAATCTTCGCCAGTGGTTGAACAGGAAAAGGAAATCTATGCCTTTTGCAGTGCCAATGATTTGGAGAGATCCAACAGATCATACCAGCAATTGTTACTTCTGCATGGTGCCTCCAGTTGGGAAAGGTGTGTCAAAGAAGAAAAAGTGGACTGTGCATTATCCAAACATTCCATCAGCTATACGCCCAGTACCCCACGGAGAAGGACTGCCGGATCCTGATGCACCAGAATCATTCTCACTTGAGTCAGACGAGGAAGAGGAAGAGGATGAAACTTCTGGTCCTGAACCATCAATGTCACAGGACCCACATTTTCTCCCATCCTCCTCCTCTGAACCACACCTCATAACACAAGGTGAACTGAATGACCTTGTCAGGGATTTGGAACTACCCAAGAGTAAGGCAGAGCTGTTGGGCTCCAGACTACAGCAGTGGAATCTCCTGGCAGGTGATGTTAGGGTTTCCATGTTCCATGACTGTCAAAAGGATCTTGTCCCATTCTTCTTCATGGAAGGTGATCTTGTAGCCTGCAACAACATCGATGGTGTGATGGCAGCCCTCAACATGGTTCACGATCCAGATGAGTGGAGACTGTTAATTGATTCATTGAAGACGAGTCTTAAAGCTGTTTTACTGCATAATGGCAATGTTTTGCCATCAATTCCAGTTGGTCATGCAGTCCATATGAAGGAAACCTATGACAACATGAAACAACTTTTGAGGTGCATAAACTATGACCAACATCAGTGGCAGCTTTGTGGCGATTTGAAGGTTGTTGCTCTCTTGCTTGGTCTGCAGACTGGATACACAAAGTACTGCTGTTTTCTCTGCGAATGGGATAGTCGTGCAAGAGATTCCCACTAAATCAAGAAAGATTGGCCACTCCGACAGTCATTGGAGCCTGGGAAGAAAAGTGTTCAGCATCCACCACTTGTTGAATCAAGGAAGATTTTGTTACCACCCTTACACATCAAGCTGGGTCTGATGAAGAACTTTGTCAAGGCCATTGACAAAACACAAGCAGCTTTCAAGTACCTCCGTGGAAAATTTCCAAGGTTAAGTGAAGCTAAGATAAAGAAATGTGTCTTTATTGGTCCTCAGATTTGTGAACTTCTTCGAGATGATGCATTTGACCATGCACTGCGTGGCAAGGAAAAGACGGCATGGAAAGCCTTCCAGTTAGTGGCAATAAATTTTCTCGGAAACAACAAGGCAGACAACTACAGGTTGTTGGTGGAAAACCTCCTCAAGGCATACAAAAGCCTTGGTTGCAATATGTCACTAAAGATACATTTTTTGCACTCTCATCTAGATTTTTTTCCAGCAAACTGCGGAGCAGTGAGCGACGTGCACGGCGAGTGATTTCACCAGGACATTGCAACAATGGAGAAAGGCTATCAGGGCAAATGGAGCTCATCAATGCTTGCAGACTATTGCTGGACAGTGACAAGAGATGCTCCATTTAATGAATACAAGAGACAAGCCAAGAAGCGCCAAGTAGACACTGAATAGGACTAAACTATGTACATAATAGTTTTTTGCCTTTTGTTTCATAATAAATTGTATTTATATAACCCTTTTGCTGATTTTTAAAGTGTTACATAAACAGGACAGGTGAAATATTATCATGTAAAGCAACCATAAACACATGAAAAGACCTAGGTTTACAATTTATGATTAAAACTCTA